AATTGCTGATAAGTCTGAACCTCACTTAAAGATTTTTCTAATTCAGGATTATTTAATCCTATTTTTTGTCAACTAACTTTAATTTTCTCTTTTAATTCATTCATAACCTGTTCGTTTGGCTTTCGCAAATCAGCAATGGTTTGGTCTTTGGCAGTAATTTGCCGCCGCAAATCGGCCATCTCTTTCTCTGTATTATCAGGCTGCTTAATTAATTCCTTAATTTTGGCTATTATTTGCTCGAAAGTACTGTTTTGATCCAAGCTTAAGCCGCTATCCGTAATAATTTGCTTGCTAATATCCTGCTTAATCTCATCATAATTAGTTTTACCGCCCAATTGCTCTTTTAAGCGGTCTCGTTCGGCAGTCAGATTATTTTTTTGGATTTGTAAATCATCCCGTTCTTGCTTGATAGTAGTATAATCCGTGGGGTGGCTATCCCAAGTATCTTTATAGTTTTTGAGTTCGGTTTTTACGGCAACCAATTCCTTTTGATATTCTTCAACAGCTTTATCAATAAGTGCCACATATTCCACTGCACTACTATTTAACCTAACTAATATTCTATTGAAGTCCCAACTCGAATAACCACCAAAAAAAGCTTTAGAATTAAGAATAGTTCGGCAGATTTCTGTGGCTTCATCGGTTATATCAGAAATATCATCCTTTTGATTTTTTAAATTATCTTCTCAAGTATCTTTTATCTGATCGTAATATAAATATCCCTCCGTCGGTTGATAATCATTTATTAATTCTTTAATTTTTTTTATTCAAAACTGTTTGATTAGATTAAGGTTAGCCATATTTAATATTTTTTATTCTTTTTGTTCCTCAAAAATAGGCAATTTTTGTCCTGGCATTAATTCTACAAGGGCTTTTTTTCTTAATTTAGTATAAATCCGTGTGGGCGATTTTTGTAAATAGCGAGCTTGGCGTAAAACGGGTTTTTGCCGGCTAGTGCGGATTTTTTTTATTTTTACAGCAAACATTCTTTCTAATTCTTGCTTGATTTGAAATTTATTGGCTGAGGGCAACACGTAAAAAGTATAGATTTTATTTTTTTGATAGAGCAATTGACCTTTTTCAGTCAAAATTGGTTTTTGGATTAGCATATTATTTATTTTTTGGCTTTTTTTGTCGCCAGATAAAGACTAAAATGCCAACTATTATTATTCCCAAGGTCACTCCTCCTATTAATCAATAATATTTATTTACCGTCGGAGCATTATCAGGAGAAATATTTTCCGAGTTAAGACCTAATTCTTGGGCTGTTAATTCATTTTTATCAATTTTACTCAAACTATC